AAAAATTGTAAAACTGTACACACATTAAAATAGTTTATCAACTATGAAAGTAAAAAATATATTGTATTACATAAAAAATGATGGAATTTGAAATTGAAATTCTCTATTTCAATAATAATAATTCGTACATATTTATAATGATATATGAATCATCAGAATAAGGTAAGTGATATGCGGAAATTTGTTTTAAAATAGGAAATTTATTATGAGTTTATTGGGTGAAATGTGCATTATTTCGTACGCTCAGCTATAGATAAAAAAAATGAAATTGTAGACCCTTAATCGCACTATCACAATTATTTTTACTTATTTTACTAGTGGGTTTCCAGGTCGAACACAGAGATTTTAAGTCGCGAAATTAAAGTGCAAGTTAAGCGCAACAAAAAGCGGTAAGGCTGACTCGCTCGTGAGCAAGCCAGAAAGTTAAACTAGGACATAATTAAAATAAAGTGATTAAGGTAAGCGATTGATGGAAGATTAAGTGAAGATGGTACACGAGCGATGGATGCAGTGAGATTGGTGTTGTACGAGTGCGAGTGGGTGCAGTGAAAGCGGAACATAGATATATGAGTGATACTAAGTGAGTGGTAAAAGGGGATCAGATGATGTTGTGTGTGACTTGCATGTTCCTTAATTCCTAAAATTTCATGGATCAAGTGAGGGAGTGATGCTAGTGAGTAAGTGAAACATATATGTATAACACGTAATCGATAGAGAAAATGAATGTAATTGCGCATAATGAATAAAATAGAAACTGAGATAGCCGGTACTTGACCTTAAGGGATTTGCAACAAAACTTCAATGACGCCCAAAATCAAAACATTATAAGCAAGAAATGATATTGTCACTAGATATTTATGTGACCTAATAGACAAACACCTATGCCCCTTTAATTATCCCAATCTTTGTCTCATTAGTGGCTTTATCCTTCTGTTATCTCTCTTTAATCAGAATCGAATTTGGAACAGCAGCTAAGCAGGTAGATAAGGCTCCTACGTACTTAACTACATTGAACTTCCTAAATTCTTTCAATGAATACAACATGAATCTAGGTTGGTTAGTCGATTCTTCTATGTTCTTTCTCAGCAAAATGTAATTCTAATCTTAATATTCTGACACAAATATGAATTGGGGATGAAGGTGAGTGTGAAAAAATCATGATATTTCATTAAATACTAATAAAATAGTAAAGATCTACATTACAAAACCAATAACAAAGCTGTAAAATAAAGTAGTAAGATAATCTATAAAGCAGTAAGGTGAGCGGCCAGAGGAGAAGAATATCCAAACTCCTCTGGCAATTTGTATCTAGTGAACTCCCTTACAGGGTTAGAGCTCTCGAAAAGCATTAAAATTTGTAGAAAGTAAGTATTGAATGTAGTGTATTCAGTGTGTTTTACAAATGGAATATGTCCCTATTTATAGATACGTGGAATCGGCAGTTGTGGAGCAATTGAGCGGAGGTTGAAACCGCTGGACAGTTAGGCGGTTTTCGGAAGTTAATCTGTTGAAGCAGTTGCACCAGCCATAACTCCTTGGTTGTCGTTTCGCTCACTTCATAATTTAAGGTCGTAGATCTTCCTCGCTTGCCTCGGTGACTGGAGGGCATCAACGCAGCTCAAGCGGTGCTGTCGTCGCAGTCTGGTAATGGAATAGCTTGACCGCTGAGAAAAGTACACTTATTCAATTTTTGGAGTGGTCCAATCTTGCTTCTACAGTAGCAAATGTCTGGTCGCTGGCGCTGACGGTAAGCAGTAAGAGCGTCACCGCTTGACTTTCAACACTTAGTTTTTCTGGGCTAGAAACATCACTTAAAAAGGGCAAAAACGTAAATAATCTCAACAGACAGACTCCGGATCATGCCAAACAAAACAAATCAATAAAGTATGCCATAAATCAAATAATTTGGTGGTTTTCACATAAAAATTCAAGTAATACCCAGTTTTGTCAAGCAAAAAATATGCTGTTATTTGGAGTAATCAGTAAGAATCCTAAAATAACTGTTAACTAATATAACTACTATAAATATAATATATATTTTCTAAATATATTTTAACACCCCTCTTTAAACTCAATGTATGATGGAACAAATTTGAGTTTTCCAGAAGTGACTAAAAGTGATGTAGCCGAGATCTTCCACGAACGAATTTGAATATGCTAAGATTGACCGAAAGTGGCATAGTCATCCACTTGATCAAAGTCAAAAGTAGAATCTCAACACCGTTAGAGTTGGAAATAAGACTGGTCGCTCAGAATGGAACTATAGTCGAAAATAGGACTCGCTCACTCTTAATAGAGGTAGAGTCGAAAACATGACTCACTTGCTCACAACAGAGCTAGAGTCAGAAACAAGACTTGTCCACTCTCAATAGAGTTAGAGTAAAAAAACAAAACTCTCAACGGTATTAGAGTCAAAATTAGAACTCTGTCAGTGAAAATCAAAGTAGCAGAGACGGAGACGGCATTAAAATGACAATATGACTGTGGATAGAAGCAGATACATCAATAATAAGAATTCATACATATTTATAATGACATTGATAATGTTCTTTTGTATAGTCAATTACAGGGAATTTTTATTCGAAGATTGAGATGTAATGAATTATTGAGAGCGATCAGATATAGTAAAAAGTTGTGGTTGTAGACCCTGAATTGTTATCATAATTATTTATACTCTTTGACTGGTGAGTTTTCAGGTCGAACACAGGGATTTTAAGTCAAGTATTGATCTCATGAAAGCGGCAGAAATGCAGTAAAAGGACCCGCTTTGAAGCGGGTCTAAATCTTAATCTACAAAGAGCTGGAAAGGAAAGTGGTAGAAAGCGAGTGGTGGTGAGCGAGCAAGGTGCCAGCGATGGATGAGTGAGAGGGATATGAGTGGATGATACAACATATATGTATATAGATTGAGCGGTAGAGATTGATGGAGAGGTGTTGTATCTGAACTATGCGTTACTCAATGACTAGGTTTTCCTGGAGGAAGTGAGCGAGCAGTGCTGGTGTTTAAGTGAGCATATATATAATACGGAAACGGGAGAAGGAGGTAATGTAAATATATAAACCATATTATGAGGAATTTTTATCGCTGGTACTTGACCTTAAGGAATTTACAACAAGACTTCAATTACGTCCAGAATCATAACATTATAAAAAAGATTCCCTACTATCACTAGGAGTTTCTGTGACCCAATAGACACCGTTTATGCCCTATTAATTATCCCGAATTCTGTCTCATTAGTGGCTTTACCCTTTTATTACCTCTTTTTATAAAAAAATTGAATTCAAACCAGTAGTTAAGCAGGTCGACAAGGCTCCTACGTACTCAACTACATTGAAGTACCTTGAATCAGTTTGTGACAAAAGACACAGCTTAGATAATCAATCTTTTTGTGCTCTTTACCAGCGAAATGAAATTCTTTACAAATAGGTTTTATATACATGTGAAAAGTATTGAGGGAGTGATAATGAAGAACAAATGATATTTCATTACTTACTACCAAAGCTTGAATTTCTAATTCTACAAATACTGTAATTAAAGCAATAAACTAAACTAAGTAAGTAGTAAAGTGGTGGCCAAGGGAGAAGAAAAATCTCAACTCCCTTGGCCATTCCTGTGGAGAACTCCTTTACAGGGTTGGAGCTCTCGGAAAACAGGAAGACAACTAGAGTTCGCAAAAAATAAGTGCTGGTATACTCCTCTCGAAGTATATTTTATATACAGATATTTGTCCTTATTTATAGCAGGTGGAAGTAATGGTTGCAAGCAGTTACAAAGTGGTTTCAACCGCTAGGTTGTTAGGCAGTTTGTGGCGGTTATTCTGTTGAAACAGTTGCTGGCTATATCTCCCAGGGTGCTCGCTTCGCTTGCTTTGGATTGTAAGGGCGCAGATTTTCCTCACTTGCCGGATGACTGGAGGGCATCAGCATAGTTAAGCGGGTTTGCTTTGTGCTGGCTGGTAATGGAATCGTTGTACTGTTGCAGGTTGGACATTTAGGTAATATTTGAGTTGAGTTGTCGTCGCTTCGCTGCAGTGGGTGTCTGGTCGCTGGCCTAAGCGCTGGAGTGTCGCTTTCGAGCGGTGGAGGCTACCGCTTGCCTCTCTTGCCTTAGCTTTTCCGGACGATTGAGTCATCGTTTGTGAGCGAAGATGACTATTGCTTATTTCATCTGCCTTAGCTTTTCCGGACGATTGAGTCATCGTTTGTGAGCGAAGATGACTATTGCTTATTTCATCTGCCTTAGCTTTTCCGGATCCAAAACACTGCTTAAAAGAGCAAAAATTGTTAATAATCTCAATAAACCAACTCTGGATCATGCCAAGTGAGATAGATGAATAAAGTATGCCATATATCAGTTATTGTATAGTTTTTATACAAAAATTCAAGTAATACACAGTTTTGTCAAGCTAGAAATATGCTCATATTTGGAGTCATTAGACACCATATTTGATGTATCCAGAGAGAATTTGATCATAATACCATATTATAATGTGAAATTGAAATTCTATATTTCAACAATAAGAATTCATATATATGTATAATAATATATGAATCATCTAAATAAGGTAAGAATCCTACAAATCTCTTAAATAAAATAACTATCATAAATATAATATATAATTTTCTAAGTATATTTTAACAAAAAATGTCTATGTATTTCAAATTGTTCATATAATTATCTAAAAACTATTCATATTAGACCCATACCAATTTACAAACAAGTCTGATGCTTTCTTATATTTGTAAATGCATCCTCAGAACATATTTAAAAGATACACCAGAACTTTGCCAAAATTACGCACACAAATTGAATTTTAATCGCCAATCCACCTACCCAAAACAATAATGATATCGAAATCTACGCTACATTAAAACATAATAAATATACATTAATTTACATTGATTGCACTTGCTATAAATATTCATAAACTACCAATCAACTTATATAAATTGAATCATCTTTTCAAAGGAAAAAAATATCACATAAATGATAAATGACTATGGAGAGGATAAAACATGAGCAACTCACTAATGAAAATAAGCGAAACTCTATCCTCCTCGAAGAAACTGAAGGTCTCTTGAAGGAGGTCGAGCAATTGAAGATTCTTTATGGTGTTGACATTGCCATCATCGGTCATGAGGAAGGTGGCGAAAGCAATACCATTCTTTGGCCATCACCGGAAGGGGTGGCGGAGCAGGTGAACAAATTTATGGAGTTACCGATAGACGAAAAAACTAAGAGAATGGTGACTCACGAGAGTTATATAGAGCAAATTATAAAGAGTGAAAAGGAGAACATTGATAAGTTGATGAGGGCTATGGCGGTGAAGGAGGGCCATCAGCTTCTAGCCAAAAAGGAGGTGGAAGACATGGACGTGACTGAGCTGAAAAATTTGAAGGTCATGGTAGCTGAGATGATTAAGAAACTGAAGAAAAGAGCTGAAGAACTCGACCTGGTGACGGCACCGAAGGCCAACATTGGGGCTGGATCAGTGGAGGGTGGAGGAGACCTTTTTCAGGACCATGACTTTTTCGAACATTGGGGCACCTCCTTTTGGAGCAGCGACAGCTACATCCGATGAAGATCAGAGCCATATGCAGGCGATGGTTTCAGTGGGGACTGATAAGTGGTTTTCTGGCGGCGCCGGAGGCAGTGGCGGAAGCATTGGCGGTGGTTCTTCTTCTACATTTGAAGGGTATTCTAGTCCCACTGTTGGTGGCAGTTCTTCTTCTAGTTTTCTAGGGTTTTCGGGTAGTGTTGCTACTGGAGGGGACTTCTCCAATGACACTGCCGGCATCTATTATTCTGGATATGAAGGGTCTTTTGGTGGCAGCACTGCTGTTGGTGGTTCTTCTACTAGTTTGGAGGGACGATTTTCCAGTGCTAGTGATGATGCTGTTGGCGGTTCCTCTAATGACTCTAGAGGAATGTTTGGCGGGGGTAATTAGTGGCTGTGAGCTACAAGTAATTGATGGGAGGGGATCCTCACCTTCACCGCTCCTGTCCCACTCTAAGCATCATCACACACCCATGTATCTATACATGGGTATGTGTGGGGCAGGGAGGGGATGATGCCGAGGATCTCCTCCCGTAATTGATGGTTGTTATTTTATTATGTATTTTTCTTCATAGGTATTGGTAATAGACGTTTTTTCTTATGAAATAATAATACCCAATAATTACTAGAGTTGCAAAATTAGCCTTTCAAAAAAAATTTAGTATATGTTTTTAGTTAATTCTTTGTTACTATTTATAATATATTTAGTTTGTTCTTTTGAATTATCAAACTTATTGTCTATTACACAAATTTTCATTTTTATTTCAAAATATTATTTTCAATGCCTGTTATTTATATAGAATTTAATACTCCCTCCATTCCACGGCACCAAATCTTCTATTATCAAATTCTCCTATTCTCTCTATTCCAACAAAAAAAATTATGACACAGGTTTAGAAGAGAGAAAAAATTAACAAAGAGTAATTATGAATATGATTTAAAATTTATATATTTTTAAAAATTATATTTTTATTACTTATTAATTTTCTTTTCTTAAAATTAATTATATTCAAATTAATTATTATTTTTATTATTATCCTCCCTCCGTCCCATAACTATATATCAATTTGCTTTTTGCACGGAGTTTTAAAAATATTAGTATTATATTGGGATATAGTAGAAATAAAGTACAAACGACTGAAATGACTTTATTAGTATTGTGTGATATAAAGGTAATGGTATTTATATAATTTATTGGAAGTTGTAAGGGTATTTGTAATATTAGGTAGATAGTACATTTACTAAAAAAGGAAATAGATATTTTGTTATGAGACTGACCAAAATAGAAAAATAGAGACTTTGTTATGAGACGAAAATAGTATTATTTAATTGTAAATATATAATTTCTTTATTTTTTTAAATATTACCGTAAAATACCATTTAAATATAATTTTATGAATAAAATATTACACAAATTACTATTTAAATGATTTTTTTATGGAACATTTAAATTTTAAAAATAATATATATATACATAATATGTTATTGTGTAAAGAATAATATAATATATATATATATGAATAAAAGAATAAATTTTTTAATAATATAAAATTATATCTAAACAATACTTGAGATGATTTTTTTTCTTAAAAAAAAAGAAAACAAATATGATAAATTGATATAATAGTAAAAATAAAAATTAATTTGAGATATAATTTATTTTAATATTTTTAAATAAACAAAATTAATAAATAATAAAGATATAATTTTAAATAATACTCATATCTTTTTTTTTTTTTTTTTTTTCATACGTCATAACTTTATATGCTGGAATACGAGGAATAGAGATATTTGAGAAGAGAGGACTTGGGTCCCCCATTCCACTTACCGTCCTACATTTAAGATGATTTTTATTTTTTAGAAAATTATTACACATTTTAATTTTATTTAAAATTTTTTAATTTATTTTTTTATTTTAATTACATTAATTAGATATTTATATTATAGGATAATTATTTTTACTAATATATTTTTAATTATCTACTCATTATACTTATTCTAAATTACCTAATTATTTATTCATTATACTTATTATAAATTACCGTATCTACGCTAACCCGAATATGCAATGTGGAATGAAGAGACTATTAAATAATGTTATTTAACCCAAAAATAACATCATTAAAAAAAAAAAAAAAAGAACACACATAATTTATTTATTTAAAACGAAACAAAAAAACATTTACATAATTTTTTTATATTTCTATTCAGAATATAATACCAAATATCGTTTCAATTTAAAATATTATATGCCAAATTTATTTCTATTCAAAATTGATCTATTATTGAAAAAAGTTAAATGAACATCATAGTATAGTTACAAATTAATGGAGTGATACTTTCTCATGTTTTTAGGTTATTCTTTATTGTTTAATTAATTATTTTAGAAAAAGCTTATTCAAATTTTAATTTTTTTTACAAAATATCGTATTAGTTAATTATTTCAAGTTAGAAAAATATTAAATATATATATATATATATAAAAGATAATAACATAGATTGTGTAGTGGCAGCAGTGGCGGAGGCAGACTCCTCTTTCTTCTTCTTCTCTGGCAGGTGGCGGCGACGGGGCTGGTGACGGCGCAGGCAGCTTCCACTCCGGCGACGGCGGCAGCAGCGCTGAGGCGGACTACTCTTTCTTTTTCCTTCTTCTCCGTCAGGCGGCGGCGACGGGGGGCTGGTGGCGGCGCAGACTGCTTCCGCTCCGGCGACGGCGGCAGCAGCGAAGCCCTCCTCTTTCTTCTACTTCTTCTCCGGCAGGCGGCTGCAGTGGAGGCTGGGGCAGCACCGGCGGCTTCTTCTCCAGCACGCGGCAGCAGCGGTGGCCTTTTCTCTTATTTTCCTTTCTTCTCCGGCGCAGTGGCAGCGGCGGCGGCCGGCGGCAGAAGCTGCTGTGGCGGGGCGGTTTTGGAATCTTCTCCGGTGATGGTGGCGGCGGCGGAAGCTGCAGCGAATGGCACTGTTTTGGAATCTTCTCTGGCGGCAGGCGGCGGCAGTCTGGTGGAAGGCGGCGGTGGTCCGGTGGCAGGCGGCGGTGGCACTCCGGTGGGGGCATTGGAATATAATATATTTTTAAAAATTTTTTTTTTAATTTGTCTCAAAATTTCCTAGGTTATTGATATAAAATATATATTTTTTTAAATAGAAAATTTTTAAATTTGCTTCGGAATTTCCGAAACTATTTTCATTAGTGTCAGAATTTCCAAAGCATTTAGTCTCGAAAATTCCGAAACTATTCCAATTAGATTCTGAAATTTCGAGGCTACACAAACAGTCACGAAGAATCTGTTGGGACCGTTTCCGAGACTGTTTCCGAGGCTAATCAATCCAATATACTCCTTTCATCCTTTAACAATCTATCAATTTTTCTATTTTGATCTGTCTCGTAACAAAAACAAAATATTTATTTATTTTTTTATTAATAAGATTATTTTAGTAATTTTTACTTTATTTATATCATATTTCAATATAATATTAATATTCCTAAAATGATGTAAAAACAGACAAACACAAGAAAGGAAGAGAGTATAATATAATATTATCTTCGCCTTGTGGGGTTAGTGCCGTTTTTTTTTTGCATGCATATACTAAAAAATATTGAATTAAATAGTTAATTGATTTGAATTAGTTGATATAATGTGTAAAAAAATATTATTTTGATTATCTTTTTTTATTGGATAAAAATAGGTATGTCAAATAGGGCGGGTTAGCTCTGGACCCGCTCTTATTGGGACGGGTTCGGGTTTAAATAATATGTTTCGGGGCGGGTTGTAAATTTAAAATTTTAAACCCGGCCGGGTTCGGGGCGGGTTAGGGTTTTACTAAAAACCCGTCCCAATCCGGACCCGGACCCGAACCCGGATATTTTTTAAAATTGTTATAACTAATATATATGTACATTTATATAATAAAAATATATTATTTATTTACTTAAATAATTTTAAATATAAAATTCAATTAGTCGCCTCCTCCGAATAATTTTTTAAAATTATTATACCTAATATATGTATATTTATATAATAAAAATATATTATTTATTTATTTATCTTATTTTTATGGATTAATATTTGATTATTTTTAGATTTTTTTTTGTGTTTTTAATGCTATTTGTTTTAGTATTCGATTGTTAAAAAAAATATTTATTATTATATATTTTTTAAAAAAAAACGGTTTGCTGGGTTGGCCCCGAACCTTCCGAGTTCGGGGCGGGGCGGGTCCTGGGGCCGAGTGGAAGTAGGGCGGGACGGGTCTCGGAGCCTAATATTTTCTAGCGGGCGGGTCTCGGGCCTGCAGAACTCGTCCCAAACCCGCCCCGTTGACATCCTTAGATAAAAAGTAAAAAAAATTGGAATATTTATTTATTTATTAATACTTACTCTATTAAAATAACTATGTGAATAAAATTCCTTGACAAACCCCAACAACTTCAATTTATTTTGTCAATTCACACGTTAAATACGATTTCCTCAAAAATTCCTTCCAAAAATATTTCTTCTAAATTAATTTTACCAAATTCCCTATCCTCTCAAAGTAAGACCATCGAGAGGCCTAACAAATAGAGTAAGAGTAGGATTGTAGTTTGGATATTTACGACTAAGAAGTATCAGAGTCTCTTTCGGATAGGCTCTAAAAGGAGAAAGAATGATGGAATGTCAATAGAAGTTTATTATTGAATTGACCCGACTTGATAATACATATTTTGGGAACGTTAAGTGTCAGAGCCAAAGTCACTGAATGGGTAAATCGTCGATCCATGGACTACGTAATGTCCTTTACCCCTTGGGTGACAAATGTGCATTTTACTAGAGGTTTCTAATACTCTTTTACTAGAGGTTTTTAATACTCTTCTGCAATTTCTATTGAAACATATACTTTAGGGTGATTGTACGGCAGATCATTTTAAAGCAGACTCCCCGTTCATAAAGAGAGTTATAAACTATTGAAAGAAAACTTATTCTTGAGGTCTAAATGGTTAGGCCTATTTAAAGGTGTTTCTACGGAACAAGATTGGAGATTCTTTCTTGATACTATCTCAACAAATTAGGAGATAATCGTAACAAAAATTATAACATAATTAATAATCGGGATAAGGATATTCGAGATTATAGTAACATCTTTAGATATTAAAGTCCCTCGTATGGCAAATTTTATCCTTTCAATATGAATAGAATTTTTCGGAATTTTTCTATCAGACCCATGAGCTAACCGACTAGGTCCACCACCCGATCCAAAATTCGCAACTCGATTTGGTACAATTAAAGAATTTGATAAGGATAATAATATTTACCAATCATTTTATCCGAGGAATTCGGTTATGAGAATATATTAAATATTTTTTGTACTTGATATCTGAAATTCTGAAAACAAGAATTCTTACATATTCAGTCCCAAGTCCCTGCTGAAAATATCTGATATGGCGACATATCTCCGGCAGGTGACGCATCAAACGGGCATGTTAACCTCAACTCACATGCGAGCCACGTGTTATTTTTCCACCGGATGCTACAAATGAAATTTTTGTAGATACTGTCCTAAAATAAAAAATTGAAAATTGATGTTAAAAAATGACAGCACTTGTCAAATAGAATTTATAATTTACATTTTATTTAAATATATTCAAGAAATTACAATGTATCTTGTTAATGATATATTAGAAGAGAGTTCATTTCATGGTGAGATAAAAGTAAGGTTCCTACTCTCTCTCTATATATACATATCTCTCTCTCTATATATATATATACACACACGCCAACTAACAACCCTCGACGATGTAGGAATTCTCGTTTTGAGAATTTAGAAAATCAAATAATTATTAAATATTAAACCTATTCTGAAAATTGAACTATGGTAAGAATAGATGAAATAATATGATTATCCATATCACATAACTATATGCCGAACCGAGTAATGAACTCGGATCGGGTGTCGGATCGAGTCGGTGAGCTCAATCGGATAGAGAAATCCGAAAAAATTTTATTCATGCCAAATGGACAAGTCATATCTTAAAATTGATTTCCATACGAAAAAAATTTGAGGTCATATTTTATGGGTGCGTTTACTATATGAGATTATGGTGGATAATACTATTTTATCCGACCTAATTTCATATCTACAGAGCCATATATAATTAAAGATCTCTTACAATTATTATAATTTATAGGATTGTTAATACAATCTAAGCCACTAATATTATTAATTATATTACTAAATTATCTAAATTACTCATCTCTTTAAATACTTACAAACATTTTATATAAATATAATAACAATTAATCTTTTTGTTTAAATGCAAGTTATATATATTTTTTAAACTTTTAATAAATAATATTAAGTTATAAGAATGCTAGAAAATATGTTACTAAAACTTAATTTATAATTTTGAGGACAAAATTAAATATATTTAATAAATAATAAAAATATATCAAATTATATATATACATATTATGTCATGACAATAACTCAATTAAATTTTAATATTGTTATATATTAGTATATTGTTATAATTAGAAAGAAAAAAAAATATAAAATAAATTATATTACAATAATTTATAATAACATTATTAAGGGTACTTTGGGTAAAAAAAAATAATCATACCATATAATCAAACAAAATATAATTTTATATAATATTTAATTAGGCAAAGTAAACGTCATATTACTTAATCCCTTGATTATATAATCCATGCTTTAAAATAGTTTATGAATAGGCATGACCTTTATCACGAGACACTCTCCTCCCTTTGCCGATTATTCTACTCTACTTCGAAAGAATATAAGTCGTTTTACTTTTGTGAATTATACAAATATACTGAAACACTACTGACGGATATTTCGTTCTGCAGGAACAGATCTTTCTCAACTTGCTTTCCTTCCTAATTTCTCATTAGGGCCTTATATTTTCCAACACCTCTATGGTTGTGATCAAGAAATTTAGAGTTTATTTGAAAAGTTTGAAACAATAAATCGGTCCGAAAGTGTTGCACAAATTTTTTTTTTTTCAGCAAGACTTACCGGATAGTGATGGATGATACGTAGTGAAGTGATCAAGTGTGGAATTACTTTGTATTTTTGCACCTTTAACTTAATATTGACAAATATATTTTCTTGACATTTCTTGTGATATCTTGTCTTAAATATAACATGATATTATTTTTATTTTTTATTGAGTCCTGAATGATGACACTGAATTGCTATACATTAGTAATAAGAATGACTCAGAAGAAGACGAGAAAAGAGACTATCTGTTATACCAAAAAATATATATTTCTGAAAGAGTTATTTGGGCTCGATAAAAGAAGAAGAAACAACCTAATTATTTGGTCCAAATTTATAAATAAATAAAGGACCATAATAGAGCAGCCCGGTTGGAGGCCCAGGCCCGAGTTCACAAGGCCACACGAAGCAATATCCGATTGAAATTATTCTAATTTTGTATAAAAATAATTGGATGATAGGGTGAAATCTTAATTGGATTAGATTTGATTAGTGATATTATATATGCTTAATAGTTTACATTAGAGGAACATCCGACAATATAATTTTTGGCTTCTAAATTTCATGCAATTGATTTTTCTTTCATTTCCTTAAATTTACTTTCTTTCGTATTCTAATCTTCTTGCTCTGCTTCCTGTTTCTCTGTATTTTCTTTTTTGATTCTTTTAATTTTTTATCCATTATCTTTTTATTTTTTTACTTTCTACTCATTTATCTTTGTTCTCTTTTTCTATTTATTATTTGGGAACAAAGTTCAAAATCCTCTTTTAAGGAAGTTGGAAAACTTACCCGATTGATTCCTTTCATCGCATACCTTTTTTTTTATTTTTTTATTTTTTTATTTTTTCTTATTTTCTATTCATTTATCTTTGTTCTCTTTTTTTTCATTTATTATTTGGGAACAAGGTTCCGAATCCCGTTTTAAGGAAGTTGGAAAACTTATCACATTGATTCCTTTCATCTTCTATCCATTTTTTTTTTAATTTTATTACTTTCTACTGATTTATTTTTGTTCTTTTTTTTCATTTATTATTGAGAACAAATTTCCAAATCCTGTTTTAAGGAAGTTGGAAAACTTATCCCATTGATTCCTTTTATCTTTTACCAATTTTTTTTTTTTTTAATTTTTTACTTTCTATTTATTTATCTTTGTTCTCTTTTTTCATTTATTATTTGGGAACAAGGTTCCAAATCCTGTTTTAAGGAAGTTGGAAAACTTACCCCATTTTTTACAGCTTGGATCCGAAAAGCTGGCGAAAAATATTTTAAGTAACAACACTATCATACAATGGTCAACTACTGATCAACAGCTGTATCTGTTGCTATACAAAAAGGAAAACTAAAGATAGTCATTTACAGAAAATCAAGAAACAAGAAGTGTTCAATATAGATGCAGACATTCCAAATTCATGCATCATTTCAACTAGATATCAATTATCACGATTAACAGAAGATCTTTCTTTCTTTGTGCCTAAGATTTTTTGAAACTAGAAGATCCAATAATCTTTCAACATCGATGGAACTCGCATCCGCAGGAGTACAATGGGTTCTATCCGAGACACACTTTTGTACTTGTCGGCCAGTGTATATTCTCTTAACATATATTTCCTTTGACGACCACGATCACCATTCTCCTCATTCACCTTGTAGTAAAAGAAACTCTTCCTTTTTCCTATTAGTTCTTGGTTCCTGTCATAGATTTCGACATGCATGGAACGATCACTGCACCACCAGGAAGTTCCTTAACCGCTGTCATAAAGGAAATTTCTTTGGTATCTTGGTAGTCGTTGAACAACTCCTCCTGGGGTTCTTCGTTGATGCTGTAAATGTCGTGATTTGGAAGGACACAGCGGATTTGAGGAGGCAATTGGATTTTGGCTTCACATAGCTCATTAAGAAGAAGGAGAATGACTTCTTTATCAGATAATAGAGTGTGTGTCATTGCAGAATAGCAAACGACGACCTTCGGTTGTTTGCGGAGAATGATCTGAAAAACTGAATGATTGAAGAACCAAGAGGATGTGTTTTGTTGAGCCCAGAGAATAAAGGAATATGATGGAATGAATTCTCTATCTCTTATAAGTACATAATACACATTATGCATTTATAATAAAATTTTGTGCCAATTGTCCGAAAGAACATTATACGGTATTTGGTACAAAAGATTTAATTCAAACATGATATATATATATATATATATAATATAGATGCGTAATGCGTATATATAAGAGAGAGATTATTATTTCATATTCCCCTTTTCCTGCGCTCAATAGAACACATCTCTTCCTTCTTCAATTATTTAGTTTTTCAGATCATTTTCCGCAATCAACCGAAGGTTTTTCGTTTTTCTGCAATGGCAGACACTCCATTATCTGATGAAGAAGTCATTCTCATTCTTCTTAATGAGCTATGTGAAGACAAAATCCAATTGCCTCCCCAAATCGGCCGTGTCCTTCCAAATCACGACATTTACGGGATCAACCAAGAACCCCGAGAGTTGTTCAACGACTACGATGATTACAAAGAAATTTATTTCATGACAACGCTTAAGGAACTTCCTGGTGGTGATAGTTATAACCGCAGTTGCGGCGGAGGGAAGTGGAAGAAGGCCGGCAGCCATTTCGAAATCTATGACAACAACCAAGAACTAATAGGAACAAGGAGGACTTTCTCTTACCACAATGTGAATCGGAAGATTGGTGACCGTGATGGTCGAAGGAAATATATGTTAAGAGAATATACACTCTCCGACAAGTACAGAAATTGTGTCGCCGGAAATCACAAACTGAATGCACTGTGTAGTCATGAAAAAACATCTCTCGGATAAAAGAAATTATCCTCGTCCGGATGTGAGTTTGATCGATGTACATGTTGAAGGACTTTTGGGTCAGCTAGTTCAAAAAAATCTTAGGCAGCAACAAAGTTCTTCTGTTAATCGTGATAAACGATATCTAGTTGAGATGATGCATGAATTTGGAATCTCTGCATCTATATTGAAAACTTCTTGTTTCTTGATTTTCTGTAAATGATCTTAGACTTTTCTTTTTTGTATAGCAACAGATACGATCAGTTGTTGATCATTGTATGATATATTCTTTTCTCTATCTTCTTCAGAGTCATACTTGTTCTTGAGGTATAGAATTCATTGTCAACGATTCCGGAGTCAATAAAAAAATTAAAAATAAAAAAACATAATATTGTCATCTTTAAGACAAGATATCACAAAAGAATGTCAATAAAATATCTTTGTGAACATTAAGTTACAGGTGCAATAATATATAGCAATTCTAACTTAAACACTACACTACATATCATCCATCACCACCTGACAAATCTTGCAGAAAAAAAGAATTTGTGGAACACTTTAGGACTGATTCATTGTTTCAAACTTGAGAAATAAACTCTAAATTTCTTGATCAAAATCATAGAGGTGTTGGAAAATATGGGCCATGTCGTGATGGCCTCGCCATCTTGCGCGAGTTTTCATTCCTACGTCTCCACCAAATGAGTGCCAAGTCTTTCAAAAATAACGACCGCTGCATATGTACCTTGGCCGTATCTCCCACGACTCCTACAACGTTAAAGTAACGTTCTACATCGAAAATAAATTTATCAATTAAGTTCGAGCTCATTGTCCGAATTTAATTAGTATTTTTTTTTTGTCCACCAAAAGTGTGCTTACATTCTTTGTCATTACTAAGGAAGTGATCATACTTTTTTGTGGATGGACAAAATATATAATATATTGTTAAAATACTACTAATTGAATATATGTATATTACTCATGTTAAAAAATTCAAATACAAAAATTAAAATTTAAAAATATTAGCAGTTGTCTAAAAATGTTTAACACCTTAAATATAGTAATTTCATATAATATTTTATATAGAAAAATTATACTTTATCTCATATAATTTGTCCACTTTTTTATTTTTATTTATCCCACCTAATTTGTCATTTTATTTTCTTTTTAAATATAATTATACACTTTAATCAAATTTTAAAATTCATAATTTGTAATTTTCTAATTTTAATTAAATAATTTAGTCATTTTAATCTTAATCTATAATTATTTTTATTAAATCGTAATTATTTTTTTTAATACACTTCTTAATTACTTACTAGTTATACAATACCTAAAATTTGTACCCAACTAAGATGAAAAAATTAGCTGAGAGAGAGAATATATTTTTTCTTATAATAATGACATAACTGTTTCAAAGATTTAAAAAATATATTTAAAATAAAATATATAAAATATGATATATGCATAAAATAAAAATAAGCATTTTAAGTGTGCCTGTAGTATCTTTAACACCTTGTCAAATTAAAATATAATGGTTTGTGTTTAAACTAAACAATAATTATAATATAATCATATATATCTTTATAAATATAGAGTTACGAAATTGTTGCAACTTCAGTTGATATAAAGTCATGGAAATGCAATAATATAATTTTGTAACTAATTGTTACCAAATATCACCATTTATAAAAGTAATGGAATTTTATTACAACTTCTATTGCTATATAAATTTACCAAAGTGTCATATTATTATTTTGTAATCTATTGTTACGGAAATGTCACAAATTTAGAAAAAAATAGATGAACAAAATTCTAAGGAGGTAAGTCCATATATTTTTTCATGATTTTTAAGTAAACTCACTAACCTATGAGAAAATTCTGATTTAATTTTTTTTTACAACAACTTTGGCTCAATTTTCTAGTGGTGGCTGTCTAAATGAAGCTATGAACAACATGAATATGCTATATTTCAAGTACAAAATGTGCTATTAGTCAATGTAATCGAAGGACTAAAGATAACAGGAATTTATCTGTACTAAAACATTGTTTATATCAAACATTAAAATATATGTCTAAGAGAAAATGTAG